CTGTATAATTTTGTTAAGACAGTGCTAAGTGTTTTATTTTAGAAGCATTATAGGTCAATGCAGACTTTCAACATATCTTAACAGACCAAAGGCTATGATCATTTCTTCTGCATCTGCAGTGGTTTTATGGTAATTGCTTGTAATCCACTCGGTGCGTGTCTGCAGGAACTGCTCCAGCTATGCACTGTTTCTTCTGACCCACCCCACTGAAACAGGGCTGACCTTGAAAGATCTCTCCACCATGGCCCACACGAGAAATTTTTTCTCCTTTTCAGTAACTGTAAGAGCTTGCAGTTACATAGCATCTCCTGGCCACAAACCTCAGTGCATCACGTTTGGCACTGCTGAAAGGCAGCAGCAGAAACCAGGTGGGCAGCCAGGTGTTTTTCACTGCACTGGGGCAGGACTTGAAGGATCTCTTGCCAAGGCTCTGATGAGTCTTGAACCTCAGAAAATCCTTCCTGGTGTCCCCAGAGTGGGCAGGAGACAGGATCCAAACTGGTGGCTGTGGGCCACCCTTCCCTAGAGAGGAACAGGTGGATCAGGCTCCAAAAACAGGGGAGAGACATGGTTCTGTGCTGAAGGGGCAGTGGGGAGAGAGACCAGCTTGATGAAATGAGGTAGCATTAATTAGAATTGATTTAGTTTGAAAATCTTTGGGCCTACCACACCATCTTAACTACTGCATAAAACATTTCATTTTAATAATGCACTTTAATTGTATCTCTCTTCATTTATGGGAGTGCTTGACACTGTTTGATGTGACAGAGAGCAGCCGTTCTTCTCTCTGCTGCTCTTACAGACAGTGTGGCCAAAAGTATGCCTTCATTAGTGATGACCTTGCCCCGTGTGTAGAAACGATGTACTTTCTGACATGTTTCTTGCATTTTCTTGGACGTGCATGTGACTTGCTGTATTTGTATGAAAAATAGCATTATGGTGCCACTGGAGAGGCTTGCAGATTGAAACTGAACCATGGTGTTTGGTGGTAGGCTGAGCATTACAACAGGAGGGACTTCTGACCTGAGAACCATTAATTGAAGATAAATAGATGCTGTAAGGAACAAGAGCAAATGCTGAGAGATGGGTATGTTTCCTAGTCTGAGTATGAAGAAGGCTAAAAAAATGCTTTCCTATCTTGTGGTTCAAAGGGGAAGAGCTGACTTCCCATTATAATTTGAGAGTCCATTATAATTTGTACATTTGGAAATTTCTTAGGGTAATTAAACGCTAATATGCAAACGAGTTTCAAAGGGCTGGTTTCCTTAAAGATTAGTCTCAACTACCCAGGGTCAAAAGTAAATTATAAGTAATGCAGTTGGGAAGTTGGATCTTTCTGGCTGAACAGATGTCACAACTGAGAAAAGCAGAATCTCAACTTTCCCTATTTGAACATCTCATTATATTCGAGGCCACAGAAAGACACATTGGGTTCCAGAGAGGTGACACGTAAGGTCTCATGCTGATAATCCATCCTTTAATTATTTTATGGAGGTTAATGCTGCTGTAGTAGAATAGTAGCTTGGTCTTGGCAGTGAATAATAGGTTTTAGTAGAAATGAGTTTAATGTAAAATTAATAAAGCAGTGCAGAATAGCTGAATTGCGTGTAAAGGCTGGTGATGATGTCCATGCTTTTTAGTATCCTTTAAAGGCTTTATTTTGGAGTTGGCTTCCAGGAAGCAAAACCATTTTCTCTCCTATTATGTAAGATTTACTTTTCCCCCCATTTTTTCCCCTTTCCCTATTCTATAGAAGAGTGCATGTGCACTTGAGGAGTAAGTATCTAACTGAGATACCAACCCGTCTCCTTCTCTCTTTAGAGGCTGTCTGCTGCCTACGTGTCTCCCCCTTGCCCGGGGAGAGGGGCTCACTGTTCCCATCTGTGAGGCTAGCCTGGCAAAACTTGTTCCTGCTTTTGTGTCATTACAGTGAGTGTCTGTAGTGAGCTCACACCCACATGGCAGCTCCATGTCTGGCCTGGCTCTGGGGGAATATGTCTGCCTGCATCATTCCTGCCTCTCTTTGGGGATGTTAGCTTGATCAGCCAAGCTTTTCAGTGTTGAAGCACCTGGGGAACGTTGCTCACTGACATGATGGACCTTGAACGGGTTGCAGAGTGGTGGGGAGGGTGCCTGCAGATGTTTTATGCTGTAGGTCCCAGCAGTGGCTATTCTGGAAGGAGAGGAGAGATGCGAAGCGTGAGTCACTTCTTCGAGAAAAGCTGGTCGAACTTGGTGGTGTGGCAGGAGCTCTTGAGTCTGTGGGAGAGAGTCAGGGTAACCTGAATCCAGATGTGCAGCAGGACTAATGTAGGCACAATTTAGTGGAGAATCTTGGTTCCAACTTGTTTTTTGTGGCAGTTGTTCACTTTGAAAAATGCAAGTGTTAAACTCTTCTCCCTTTTCAAACGCAGCACCTCTGTTTTGTTCTGGTTGCCTGCTTATGACTCATCAGAGCCTTAACTTCCTGAAGAAACTTTAAAGCTTGAGGGAATTGCATGCATGTTTCTATTTGTAATATGCTACTGTTGAATACAAACTAAGAAGGAAAATGTACGTGGAGTGAACATCAACATGTCTTTGAGTGGCATGGTGGATGCTGCTTTTTTTTTTTTTTTGGACTAAAACATCTTGGATAATTAAAGTTCAGTGTGATAAGCATAGAGCTTGTTGAGTGTAGGAAAACCTGCCTTGCAGGGAAATAGCTTGGAGTTTTTTTAGGATTCATCTGCCTCGATGTTTCACTGAAATGGATGCAGAGGCAGAAATAATTCAATAAAACCGAACATTGAGCAGTCGGCTTCCCCTGCGTGACAGCCCCGAATGTGCAGAGGCTTCCTACCCGTTAGAGGAAGAAGATTCTGCAGCCTTCTTCCTAGAAGAGCAAGGGGCAAAAGGCAGCCCCTGTACCTCATCTATTAAGAATCGGTTAGCTACAATGTCTTTTTAAAATGAGCTGATTTTTGGCATGCACAGATATAATGAATATTCATAATTTTTTTTAGCCACCTGAAGTATTCATTACAGGACAGGCACATAATTAAGTAGCCTTCCTGAGAGTTCACAGACTGTCCTTGCTGTCACCCATTACAGATTTGAAATAATCGAAGTATTTTTTAAATGATCCTATAAAGCTAAACCAGGCTAGAGAGGGAATATACTAAATGTCATTTTCATAATCTGTGGTTTGTGGTGGATCGAAATTCTGGTCTATGATCTCACACGTGATTCAGTGAGGCCAAGAGCAACTCCTTCCTGTGAAATCTGTGCGCTTTGCAGGGGCTGGGCTCAGCTTCTGCGGGACATGACCCATGTCCATCAACAACAACCGATGCCCAAATGTACCTTTAAAAGCATTTTAATGCCTAATTCAAAAAGAATCTGCTCTTTACTTGGTCACAGCAAAGATGACGATAGTCCTGTGTTGTAGAACTCTACATTATTCCCTTTGTGGCATCTGTCTCAGTAGCGGGGTGTTTAAATCCTGTGTGTGGGCCGTGCTCCTGTGCAGGGCCGCGTGGTCCTGAGCACACCGACGAGCCCGGTGCGGGGCGCTCAGGCCCCCGCGTGCTCCCTGGCCTGGGGGTTTGTAACGCCTCAATGAGACACACGCAGAGGTAGTCCAGCTCCCTTTATAGAAATATCTTATTTTATTAAAACTAGTATTTTCGCTCAAGTTTTTAAGGAATCCTTTATTTCACATGAACAAAAGCATCTCGTGGCAGGG